AAAACATAAAAATTATACATTTTAAATACTTTACTCTTCTTTTAAGCGCACAGTGTTAACATTTGCTGTAAACCGTTTAGCGAATTTAATCCTACAAATTGCTCTGTAAGATACGTATATACCCTTCATTATATACATTTTTTAATTCACTCCTTTTTTCCTGCCTTTAAAGGTAGGAGTTTTGTTTTTGGCTGGTGCTACTTCCGGTAGGTTAGGCGTAAAATGTATTTATGAATGAATTTCCGTCATTCCTAATTTCGGCGTTGTGCCATCTTCAGTGTAATATTTCGTATTCAATAGTTAGTGTTTTACCATCCCGAAAGACATTCCAATGCGAAATATCTGGGAGTGATTCTAGATACTAAATTAAACTGGAAACTTAACGTTGAGAAACGTAAAGAGAGGGCTTACATCGATTATTCTACTTTTGACAAAGTCGTCGACCATTATTATTTCGTCTAAAGCTTACTCGATGGTGGAATTCATAATGAGGAACAATAAAAATTTTAGGGACCTTATGACACTTAAAGCACTTTATATCGCTCTGGTTCGGAGTATTGTAGAATATGGGGCGATAATATGGAATCCATGCTATGCAAAGCACTCTGACAGAATAGAGAAAATCCAAAGGAAATTCACCAGATTTGCTGTGAAAAAATTTTTCAACGGCCGCGATATTCCAGGATATGCCCCAAGGAGTAAAATCCTTGGCCTCCAATTTTTAGCTGTGAGGAGGCTGTAGTCGTCGCTGGAAGCATTGTCTGCCTAGAGATATCTGATCTTTTTCAAATTCGGGAATCTAATTTTAATTTCAGAAATCGCTGTTCGCATAAGTCTTTATACTCGTACAACGAACCGATAGGGAGAGTTATTTGCCTTTGTAACAAACAGTCTGCGCTAATTAATTTCAACGATAGCCTTTATTGTTTTAAATTAAGTTTATTTAAACTCTTTAACTAATCTAAATTTAAACATAGAAATGTAACAAATGTAAGAAATTATGTTTCAAAGACGGAAATAATTAAATAGACAATTCTTGAGGAGAAACTGGGGTTTAAAACCGAAACTTGTGAAGTGGACGTACACCGCTATCACAAAGTCTATCCTTACCTACGGAGCCCTAATAGGGAGACCAGCCTTAAGCAAACAATACAGTACAAACAATGTCAGTAAATTAAATTGCTTACAAGGAGCGGCATGCTCGGGGATCACTGGATCAGAAAACTCCTGCATTTCAGAAGCACTGAATGTAGTCCTCAATATGATGCCCATTGATCTATGCCTAAAGGAAGCCCCGATGTACTCTGAAGTACGCCTCGAGAGAGTCGGGGCTGTTGGGTTTCGAGGACCTTTAGGCATAGCGCAATCTTAGGCCTTACCCCTATAGCAAATAAAACCACGGACTATATGGTATCAATCGTCGATTTTGGCTTGAATGTACATGTGCGGTTTCCATCCCGAAGAGAATGGAGAAGCTGCCGATAAGGAAGCAATTTGTATCTACACTGACAGGTCCAAGATGGACCTGGGGTATATTCCGAGGAGCTTGGTGTCAAACTAGCATATTTCATGCTGAAGTTCTGGGTATATGTGAAGCCTGTAGGATACAAAAAAAAAAGAGTGGCTATTTACTCATCTGCTGTAACCAAGTTTAAGCTAGCCCAAAAATGCGTCTCAGTCAATGTTCATCTCTCTTGTCAACATAGAAAGCAACGAGATAGCAGACGAACTGGCCAACGCGGGAGCTTATTTGGATGAATCTGTAGCGGTGTTACTGGGTTCTCCCCTTAGACTAATACGTGAAGCAGTTAGCGGATTTACCTAGTGCTATAATTGGCTACATATACAAATTCATAAGTGGTTCTAAATGGTTTGATTAAAATGCAACAATGTTTTGGCAGGTAGGCTGCGGTAAAATAAAATATCGCGCTAATTGATACCTGGGTGTCAACTTGGGTAACACTACAACCAACCACCCATATTTAATATGGGCCCGGTACCCCTTAGGTTATCTTATTTTGTGCTATATACACGTATATATAGATATAGGTAGATGGTTCTTTGTTGGTTGTATTGGTGGGTGGGTGAAAGTCAGTTATTTTTACCTTTTTGGTTTTTGTGGTTTAGGTCAGTGTTTCTGTGTGTTTATAGTGGCTCACAGATTATTTTACGTAACCACTTCTTTGTGTAACAGTTCAGATTGCTCTTTCTTTTTTTATCCCTTCACCGTATTTCCTAAATTTTGATCTAGTTTTGATAGTTGGAAGACACATAACTTTGATTGCCACGAAAGGGTTCAGGAACAACGAGATTCGGCATTGGTTACACGAAACACTACTTTATGATCCAGTAACATGAAACAACCGCCAATTCTCTTCTAGAAAACCGTCGAATTTGTTACTGTATATTTCAGTGATCGTTTTTAGACCATCCCGGCAAAGATTAGGGATTTGAGAGAATGCACGAGAAGGAGTTAAAAATATCTTGGTTTTACATTTTGTAACTCTCGCATGGAGGCTTTCATTGAAAAGGCTAGAGCGAAAATTTGCTTACGTATTCCAAATATTCACCTTGAAAATGCAAAGTTTTTTCAAAGCGAATTTAATTGAAAATTTTATATCACTTGATTCATAATATGTTGCACTGTGCTGCATTCCATCTTCGACGCCATTAGCTAATTTGTTTGCTTTTGAGCTCCCTTCACGCCGCACTTCCTATCTTAATCACTTTTATTTTTCATTGCGACTGGCACCACTTCTGCGGTGTCGCTGTTCTCTTTATGGTTAATACCTCGTCTTCGCTCAAGTGCTGAATATGATGTATTCACTGAGATTAAGCGGCGAGTATAAATGAGCTAAGCTCTATTTGACCAGGTTTATATTAACTTCATTGTCGTACTTTCATAGTTTTTGTTAGTATACACATAAATATAGTGTTTTGATACTTTTTAAGTTCATCTTTTATTTGGTAATTTAAATAGATCTACATTTTTATTTCTGCTTTCAAATACACACCAGTTGACATTTCGTGGACAATCATTATTTTATGGCCCCTGTGTGCATTAGCGTTTCAAACTGAATATTTTTTATCCATTCCTAGCTTTATTATTACGAATTTTCCTTTCACTTGTAAAAGATATTTGCAAATATCTAATGACATACTTACATAAAGACAAGTTACAATAAATACATACATATACGAATTTTCAAGGACATGGCGCATAGAGTTCCAGAACCCAAAATACACAAAACTCGAATGCATATATGTATGTACATATATATGTGCATACAGCTGCGAGCAATAAAATAGTAGTAAGATTCAAAATGATATTGTTTGCAACTTATGTGTATTTCTATATTTTTAATAATTTTAACTTCAAATATAGTTCGATCTTTAACAGAAACCACATAAAAAGAAAAAATTTCTCAAGTATTCAGTTTTATAGCCCATTCAATTTTAGTATAATAAAGTACAAGTTTCAAGTCACTAAAAGCTACCGTTAATTTTTTAGAACGTTTTTTGTCGAGGGTGTTGCGCATATAAAATATATTTTGTTAATACATACGTTATTTAAAAAAAAAATCTAAGGTGCAACGGTACATCTTAGTGACTTGAAACTTGCACTTGATTGTACTAAAATTGAATGGGCTACAAAACTGCATACATATTTTCATACATAATTTTCGGAAAATTCTAAACAAGGCGAATTTATATAAGGTTGTGTTACTGGCGAATCTAGATTTTCGCCGCGGTACTTCCTAATGTCAAAATGATGTGTTTGTTGTAAACAAGGCGAATTCATATTACAACAAACACATCATTTTGACATTAAGAAGTACCGCGGCGAAAATTTAAATTCGCCATCAACACCACCTTGTATAAATTCGCCTTGATTCTAAATAAAAAGTTTTAAATTTTTAATGATTTTTTTTTGACGTTTGGTTAATGGTTGTGAACTTTGGGCAAGCTTTTAAATCTTTATTTATGTAGTTTATGTTGTAGATCAAACTATATTTAAAATTAATTATAAAAATAAATAAATAAGTTGCAAACAATATCATTTTGAACAGTGCACAGTGATGCAAACGCGTAATTTACTATCCAAAAAAAGGTCGACAGCCTACAATTCTTGACGGATTCTTTCTATATATCTATTAATTCAGCTTAGAAGACATTACAGTACTCCGGTAGACGTAGTTTTATGCTTAGAAGTATGTGATTTAGATCAGAACCATCGATGAAGACTGAAATGGGACTAGCGTCTAGCTTTGTAGGCTTCACCATTCAGATTACATATTTGCCTCGTGTCATTTACGCTAGACAGGAGTTTGCCGCAAGAAGGAGCGAGAGTGCTTTCGGAGCTTTGGATTTTGTTTTTGGACGTTTGTTTGAGCAGCGTTCGTCACCGTACTGTAAGACGGAAGAAGAGAATGAATGGGCTGGAATGGTGAGCTGTGACAGCTAACTCCACAAAAAAAAATTTCCCGTAGGTGGTGCAGGAGTCGAGATATTGGGAGAACCTGCATTTATGGTCCGATTTGGTTCATATTCAGAAAGCGTATTTTAAATAGATTTACTACTATTTAACTTATTTAATTTTTTAGTTACAAATAAAAAAATACTTAACCAAAAATGGTTGAAATTTACAGACTTATGTACATACTACATCCGGTACTTTGAGGGGTAGCAAAAATTAGATATAGTACTACGTTTCAATCAGGATAGATCTTAAGTCGTGTACATGCGCTGCTAAATCGGCTATCTGTCTATTTTTGGCCCATAACATCATGAGTAAAAGTATAGATAAAGGAGATAAAGTGGTGTCAAAATATGTCGACAAATTTTGGAGTCAACATATGGCATAGTGAAAACTAGCCTTAAGAGACAGTCGGTAATGTCGATAACGATGTTTAACAGGAAGATAAAAAATATAATTTGATCTATTATACGATTTATAGCTAAGCAATATTTAAATATATTACGATTTTCTTTACTTTCAGTTTAATTCACAACAAACGATTACCAGTTTTGAGCGATTTATTTAAAAAGATAATGTAAATAAATGGAGAAATACCTTAATGTGATGATGTGGGTGGTTACGTGACTACATATGAAATGATGCACTTGAATATTTAGCTATGAAAAACTACTGAGCTTTGTAATTGAATCGTGAAACTACTAAGTTTTAACTGTAAATAAAATTGAAATCGCTCTCGGAGTAAAGATTTGCATCAAAACCAAATATAAATATGTATGCCGACAACACTGCCGCGAAAATGCAAATTTCAGCTTTGGGAACAGAGGAAATTCAACATCTCGATCTAGTGGATTTCCTCACATCCATATGAATGTATGTTGATGCATACCTATTCGCACACACAATGCCAAGCAGCGTCAGATAATAAACGCAGATAGGGAGTAGATAAAAAGTAAGGTCGCGTGTGAAAGCGTATAAAGACAACCTCAAGCTGTAAAGAGCCGCAAAATGTTGCTATTTTCTCTGCTAAAGCAATATAATTAAACAGATTAGAAAGAAATCTCATTAAAGCATAATAGAATAAAATAATTACAACACAGTTTGACCGAGGAATCGCTTTAAAATGCCTATATTGGCGGCGAAAATTTCACAAGCCACAGCCTCAGCTGCCATTATGGCAACGCCAACAACGACAACGAATTCCATTGGCAGCAGCCAGGGCAATGTAGACTCTGGCGCAACAATAACAACAACGACGATAACAGATCCAACAAACACCGGTGGCGCGTTGAACCATCATTATCATCATCCGCCGGCGCCGCATGCGGCCCCAAACACCGTAGGCAATGTCTTGTCGTCATCGTCGTCGATGGCACCTGCAACAACGTCTGTAGCTGGAGTAGCAGCAGCCCCAGCAATAGCTATGAGCACCGTTGCAGCTAGTTTAGCCACATTTAACGGAAATTCAAATTTAAATGTTGCCAACGGAAACATTGGCGGCAGTGGCAATCACAGCAACAACAACAGCAATACTAATAGTAACATCGCCAGCAGTGGTGGTGTTGGTGGCGGTGGCAAAAAGTCAATGACAACACTGAATGCATCCCGTGAGGATGTTGCATCACCACCTTCAACGCAGATTCCTTTTCTACAGTCGCTCGCACAGCTGGGCAGTACCATGCCATCAACGTCAATCAACAATCACCAGTTGTCAGCGTCCAGCAGTCAAGGTAATCGCAATCATAACAACAATAACAGCAATGGCACCGGCGCTAGCAGTAATAATAATGGCAATGGTAACGGCAATGGCAACAGCAACGGCAACGGCAATGGAAATATCAGCAGCATCCTCAAAGGAAGTAAAGGTGAGTGCGAAAAGCGAAAAAATAAATGTATTTGCAAATTGCCGTATCTAACGGAAATCCAATGTTGTACCACAAGCGGCAGTGGGCGTGCCAATATGTGTTACACAAACAACTTACTTAACACAAACAACAAACTTAATTTTCAATGCCGGTCAGGCAGAAAGGAAGTTGAAATACGCAAATTTCTTATGTTAAACACTCTAAAAATTTTTTGTTTCAATTTACGCATATAAAGAGAAGGTAACCAGTTTCCTCTCCTAATGTGTGCAATTTTTCATACCCTTTTAATAAAATTAAACTCTGTCTGGTTACTTTTACATACAAAATTTTTCGCGTAGAGCAAAATTACATATAAAATATTTAAAATTGATTAAATATGAGCATTTAATGTTTATTATTAGTAGAAAATGTATTTTTACGTTCGAAACGTTTGCAATTTTAATCATTTCATGTTTATATTTATGTGTATATCTTAAAATCCCATGTTCAAAAATCTTGAACATCTTTGGCGAATATTTACATATTCTGGTTGAAAATTAAACACAAGTAGTAGTTTGGTTTTTTAGAGTGAATATTAAGGTTTTGAAAAAGTTCTTTCAATATAAAGAATACTGAAGTTCTGTCCCCTTATTGCCCTTTTTTACTATTTTGGCAAATTTTTCTGAAACCGTTTTTTAACCGAAAATATATTAAGAAAAAAAATGAGAGAGTAGATCATGCGGTCAGAGGTTAAAATATGTATGTGTAGAAGTCATACGATAAATAGGAAAGTAGAAACCCATTATGTGATGTAAAGAATAGTTAAAAAAATGCCTGTAACATTTTGTCGATATAATATACGATCCATGAATAAATCGAAGAATCGAAAGAGCTCAGGTGTACGTCTCTTAACAAATCGCTGCCAACAGCCTTATCCTAATCCGTGCAAACAGGGGCCGAAAATAACAGTTATTTTTTTTAAGTTAAACTTATTCAAATTAAACAAGTGTCAAATGAAAGATAATTAAGTAGCTTTAAAAAGGAAAAAAAATTTAAAGAGGAAAGCCACCTATTGAAAAATATTTCAATAAACAATATTAACTAATTTCCATAGAACAAACCTTGGATCAGGTATATGAATTTCTTTTATATTAAATTATAAAAAAATATATACATAAATCCAGTTTTTAGCCTTCGTTCGTTATTTCTGTTTAAAAGCTATTTCAGTCTTCCTTCATTTGATACCAAAGTTGTTAAATTTAGATAAGCGGTTTGTTTATTATCAGGAAAGGACTTTTATTTCGGACTTAAACAATATTTGCTCAAGTTTAACAAAAAAAAACTTATTTTCGGTCCCTGCTTGTAAAGGATTTCGTTATGTACCTTAGGTTATCAGCCGCTTCTCGAATTTAAAGCATTTTTTGTGAATCTGTAATAAAGAAGACAGGGAAACTCCTCCGCGAGACTGCGAAGCTTTCTGAGTTAAGGTCGTCGAGCAGACGATAATTCCATACAAAGTTACCTTCTGATTGGGAACTTTATAAGGTTGGACTGGGAATCTACAAGTCCGAGATCAGAAATACCGCTTCTGACTTGCAAAAAACTGCGAAGGTGCCGTGCCGTTGGCTAGCCCTTATCTACGCAAGCTGCGTAAGATACGGATAAATTGCCAAGGGTTGGAGGGTTGTCAAGGTGGTGTTCATCCTGAAGGCTGGAAAGAGCTCTCATGTTTTACTCAAGAATTTCAGGTCAATTAGTCTCTCATCGTTTCTACTGAAAGCGTTGAAGATAGCAGGAGCTCAACACGCTTATTGTAAAGGAAGGTCGGTGAAAACGCTCTGCATACAATTGGGAGGTGGATAGAAGAAGTCTTCACTTAACGATTTTGCTTTAAGAGCATTCCTTAATATCGAGGGAGCTTTTAATAATGTCCTGCCGGAGGCAATAGTTAAGTCGATGGATAAGCTTGGTGTTGAAGTCAGCCTGATTCGGCTTATCCAAAATTAGCTTTGTGACATAACTGTTACGGCAGTATGGGGCAGCGCTGGTTTGCATCGCGCAGTGAATAGGGGCACCCCGCAGGGAGGTGTCATCTCACCCTTGCTCCGGGTCGTAGTGGTAAACGATTTACTAGAGGAGCTGCAGAAAGACTGCTGTCGCCTAATTGCCTATGCAGACGAAGTTGCATTTATGTTTAAAGGTAAATTTGGAATACCCTCTATGAACTGACCCAACGGCATCTTAGCATCTACTGGGCGGCCAGAAGTGAGCTCGCCCTCAATTCCAGTAAGACAGAAAGTATAAAATCCGTGACGCATGTATGTTTTTGTGAATTTTCTTATGGTTTATTAACATTTAATTTAAATACTGTTATTGAGCTTTGTACCACGATTGTTTATTAGGAAAAATGAAAGAGGCAACAAAGTCTAAGCGCTAAAAGTTATAGCAGCCATTTCGAAGATCACCACATCTCCTCACTTCTTTTTCTAGACTTCAGCAGGGAACGAACCGGAATCATCGATGTGCAAAGTCAGAAGCGCTAACCAGTGAGCTAACCTGACGCTGGTCTTCCCTCTATTGGGGGTCACCGCTTACAGATATCTGACAAGATACAGTATATGGGAATGATGCTAGGCAGGAAGACAGGAAACCCAAAGTTTTATTACTGGTTGCATAGGGACAAACGTTGTAACAAACGCTTTTATGTTCATACTAGTCCTTTTATGTATACATATTACTTCCATGCGTCACGCACAGCATTTATGTATGTGTGTGTGCTCGATATCAACACCCCTGCAGGAAATGTATCTAACTATAAGCTTACTTCAAGTTGATTAGGAAGGAGCTAAAAGTCACTTATTATCTGTTTATTTTCTTCGACGTAAGCTAACTATATTTCTATGGCGATGGCCGCGAAATAGTCAAGGGTGGTTTCCTCTGCATTAGATGTAGTCAAGGGTGATTACCTCTGCATTTGATGCAACTAACTGGTAACTAACTACTTTTGGACATAAAATATCAATATGAAAACAAAATATTTTATTTTTATTTTTTTATTTTTATTTACTTTATTTATTTTATTATATTTCATATTTGTTACCATATTCTGCTGCAGGTGGTTCCATATTCGAACTTCGTCAGACATAATTTCAAAATGATAATATGAAATTTCGATCTTCCTTTTATTTGTCCTCAATTCGAAAAAGTATTTGCGATATGCAAGATATTTAAATAGAAACACGTTTAAAGAAGACAATCTCGAGCTTTACTCCTGCATTACTTGTCCACTTGTTTCAAGTTAGCTTTTTGTAGCTAACTACAGGGTATATATTTTATAGAAATCCCGCAAAAAAGCTAACTACAAGTAGGTTATTTTTTATCAATTGAAAATTTTTTTCTGCAGGGACAGCAAAAAACACATTACCACAGAAATTGAAATGAAACAGGAAATACAAATTGTCTTAAATAAAAGATTAAAATTAATCAAAATTTTTATCTATTATCAGGTTTTATACATATATATGTATGTATTTATTTAGGTATTTAGATCTTACTTAAAAATCGGTATTTACATACATACATGTTTGATTAAACTTAAAATTCTACTTCTTCATGTACTTCCAAGGCGAATTTATACAAGGTGGTGTTACTGGCGGAGTTAGATTANGTACTTAAAAATCGGTATTTACATACATACATGTTTGATTAAACTTAAAATTCTACTTCTTCATGCACTTCCAAGGCGAATTTATACAAGGTGGTGTTACTGGCGGAGTTAGATTACAACAACAACAACCACATATATTTTTTATTGCGGATATTATGTCAAATCTCAATTTGCCCCAAAGTTTACATGTATTTTGTGTTTTCTTTCGACGGATGTGCTGTCAAATCAGTAAAAGCAAAAACAAAATACATACAAGGCGAAGAAATCAGCTGATCATACAACACCACCTTGTATAAATTCGCCTTGTGTACTTCACTTCATTGACTGACTTCCAACTTCGCTGTAAATTAAACAAAGAGAAACATGATTTTTAGGCAATAGAAATTTCCACAGAAAGTAACGATAGAAAAGAATTTTTGGGTATTCATTCTATTTTTCAGCTGACTACGGTAAAACATTATACTTTGCATTCCCCGTATTGAATCAAAGCAGCGAAATTAATAAAATATTGTAGAACATTCTACTATGCCCTACCGGCAATGCCTAAAATAAGCGAAAGAATTAGAAGGCATTATAAGGCAATGCGTTCTAGAACACGTTGCCACTAAAAGCGATTACCGATGGGAAGTATTGCTGTATTTAGTTACCTCGTATGCAACAATTACAGTATGTACAAACCGTTCATTTTCTTGCATTCTAAATAAGTGTACACTTAGGTCTTTTTTTATGCGGTACATGCGTTCCTCAGAAAGCCTCAGAAAGAAAAGAAAAAAGTTCGTTACTTTCATACAAAAACAGGGGATGCGTTCCAGCATTTTCAAAAACCGCATAAATTCAGATACTCCATATAAAACATTCTAAAAAAACGCATTAAAAATCCAGTGAGACCGCATTAAGCAAAAAAAAAAACAAATTATTTCTTCACTCAACACTTATTATTCCATGTAAAACTGAACATTAATGAAATAAATAGAATTTTATCTGTATTTAAACCAAAAATAAAAAAAAATACCACAATAAATACATGAATTATGTAAGAATACAAAGACAAATTAATTACACACTGAAAAAAAGTAATAAAAACTCTCGAAAAAGCAAAATCGCTACTGCGAAAAAATGGTTTTAAAAACCGCATAAATTCAAATCCGCATTGAAAAAAAAGAACGCATAAAAGGAGACCAAAGTGTATATTTACATATGTATTTTCTTCTACTTTTATTACTACATTTTCGTTTTTATTCAGATATGAGTCGTTTTGTTTACATTTAACGTTAAATTCGTGTGCGTGCGTACTCGTGTTACGCAGAAGCGGTGACTCACGCTTTAATCGGCGCGTGTAGCCTAATAAGAGCCG